ACCAGTAGAAGCCATTAATTATGAGACCTCACAGGAGCCTCCTAAACCCTAAACCTTAATTGAAACCCCTAACTAAGCCCCTAAACCCTAAACCCCATCTTAAGACAGTGAGAGAAGCCGTGAAAAACGCCTCACTTAACCTCTCAGGGCCCGGCCCTAGGCGCAGAAGGCGCTGTCTCCAGCTTTTCGCAGGATGTCGACCTGAGTGTAAAGATGAAAATACGGGTTGAATTAGGGTTTCGCGCTTAGGGTTCAGGGTTTAGGGTTTAGGGTTTAAGGTCTAGGAAGTTTTGGAAGTTAGGGCTTCGTTCAGGGAAGAGGGTGCGCTGAATCCGAAAGTAGACCCCATGCCTATTATACAAGGGACACTATCGGACATTCATTCAGGTGAAAATGTGTCGCATGGATGTCATTTCCTGGGATTCTAAGCATCTGCGGATGTGCAGTCTGCGCCCTCTTATGTAGGCCATGTCAGGCTGCCCGGGCTGAGAGTTCGTCCAAGCCCTGTAAGCGCAGGGTAAGTCCTTTGAGGCATGGGCGACGGACTTGAAAGCGAACCACTCTGGGATCTCCTGGCAGAACGCCAACCGAAGGAGTTTCAGTGCAGAACACGAAGTTCACGCCAGGTGGAATTACATGCACGTTCAGCTCCAACTTGGTGAATTCTCATCTCACCGAAATTGTAGCAATCAGCGGTATGATAATCATGCCTATATAAATGGCAAAGGTGATGCAATGGAGAACGACAACACTGACGATGCTTGACATTACGTTTGTCTTGCAGTGTCTTTGATGTTGGTACATCGGCGTTTCATTTATAGCGTTAACACTGTCGCTGCTGTTTGAAAGATGCCTATCCTCTCTGACTACTCGTATTTGCGAAAATAAAGCAGTATCAGCTGCTCACACCGCTCGGTAGTGGCATCCTCGTTGTTATTATCGCCATTCACCACCACCTTATCAGTGTCAAAAGCTCACCTCGCCGGCGCGCAGGCGGCGGCGGAACTCGGTGCCCGAAAGCTTCACCACCTGATGTCGCATTTGTCCTTACACCTAGGTCCAGCTCTTCTGCTCTTCAACTTCTCCTACACTGGTCTTACACCCAGACCCACATACCATGAGAGAAAAGTCTCCATTCCTTCGGCATGCTGTATAAACTCGGAGATGTCTCGCAACAGACTGCTTTACTGCTCCCTTCGGCCATGGGGAAGCCTCTTTCTAAAGGGCGTGACAACAAATAGACAGACAGAAGGCTCGCATATTGTCATCGGAAGACGGGCTCTCCGTGGTGAGCACTGAACACCCTCGGCAGGCCTTGTAGCCCTTGCTCTTGGCCACGCTCTCCTTCGGTCATAGGGTGCTAGGGTTTGAGGTTTATATTATAAGGATTTTCGGGTCTAAGGTCTCTCCAGGTAAAGCGTGCCAGGCTGGGCTCCCAAACTTCAGATCACTCGGCAAGATGATGCAGCATGCTCACACCCCCTTTTTTCCCCTGAGTCACAAGGCATCGACGCAAGCCAGATACCTGGGTTCTCTGTGGGCAGGCATCCATCTAAGCTGTCGATTGCTGTCTATGATCTCGACAACATGCAATGTTGAGAAAGTTATCCGTCCAGGGCGCATTCGCTGCAAAACGCGCTGATAAATCTCAGATGCCCTCGGCGCTGTGGAAGGGAAGCAATGACCATCTTCGTGCTCCAGCCTTTGAAGGAGAAAGCTGCGGTACAACTTATGAGAGAGATGTGAAAGGCCGTCGACGGGGAGAAATCCTTTGGGAGTCGAACGGTTAAGGTGGGCACTCCATGCGGGAGTTCTGGTTCAGGTTGGTGTTCCAATAATGTTGTTTGTTACTACCACGGTCTTTTACTAACTTTACTGCCGTAATAGTAGCAGTAGTCGTAGTCATCCCAATATTCCTTGCTGTCGTGGTCGTAGTAGCATTCGATATCGTGGTCGTCGAAGTAGTAGTGGTAGTGGTAGTGGTCGTGGTAGTAATAGTAGTATTGTTTCGATTTTTTTTTTACGTCCGCCATGCGCCACCCACACTATGTGTAAGAAATTTAAAACATTCAGCGTTGCGCGTCGGCGCAGCCAGCAGATGCGAGCGGAAGCTTTCATTTTTGTGTATGGGGTGTTTCACCTCTAAAAAGTCAACA